TGTTTTACAGTCTTCCCTCAGAATGTAATCATTTTTTCTGATTGCATATGTCTGGCATGGTGCTTTCCCTTAAATGTGAATGAAATTTTGGCAGTCTCCAAACCTAAACACATCCTAATTTCAAAAGCCACTGTCCCAAGAGCTCAGTTCCTGTTTACTGAGGAATTAAAATCCTGTTAAACCACAAAGTTACTGTATACATCTTAGTGACTTTCTATAAATGAAGAAATCCACACTCCACCAAAGACCCAAGCCTTCAATTTATTTAATAGTATTAAGTCATATTGCATCAATTGAGAAGAACTTTTTTACTGCGCGACTGTATGATACAGTCACATAGTTTTTACACATGGTTGTGTAGTTTGCTTTATAGAAAGTTGATTCAATATAAATATGTGTTGATAATCAGCTATGTATTAAGATCTAGACAATTTTTATAGGAGAGTCTTAAAAGATAAAATTACATGTGGAACAGTTACTTTAATATGCTTTTACAAACTCCCCAATAGCAATCCTTTCAGGTGGCAGCTATAATTAGAGAGGGAGAAGGTAAATCAAATTCAGTGGAGTTGTAGTTCGCCATATGTTGTTAGGCCATATTGGTTGTGAGGAGAAATGTACTTGTTTGCAAATAAGTGAATGTTTGCTTTGAAAACAGGTAGCCTCTTATCAGCTGAGATTGTAGCTAAAGTTCACTGTTTGAAACAAAACAAGCTTGTGAAAATAAGTGTATAAAAATGGATTTAAAATTATATCAAAGAATTGTCTTTGATCTATGGATTTCTCTTTTTCAAATCTCTTTACATCATGAAATTAAACATGTATACTTTCTTAATTTGGCTCCTGCTAAATTATCCACCCTGTGTCTATCTCTAAAAGACTTAGGTCAATGCTCTCAAAAACCTCAGAATGCCATTTGCAAGAGCAAAAGGCACCCAGAAGTCTGAAGTGCATGCCTCTGCTCTGCCACTGTGATTCAAAACTTCTCCTCAATTATTTCTTGTAATTGCCAATTTTTCTTAAAAATCACAATGCAATGTCTTAACATTTTTCTGCAAAAACTATAGATTATACTTGACTTCTGATACATGACCCAGCATCAAAAGAATATGATAGTTGTTATTAACCCGAGTATCTCTGTATAACCTTGTCTCAGTTAGTTTTGACATTATTCTTTAGACAAGTCACTCGATGCTTTTGAAATATGTAACATTAACTTTGAAAATTAAGTTGACCAAAAAAAATCCACCCAAAAATTAAGAAACCTACATAAATTTAAACTGATCTAAACTCAGAGCTAAGGTTGTGTGGCAAGGAAAAACCCTAACCAGGAAATGTAGCATTTATGTTGTGAAGTGGGGAAATGGCACTTATAAACTTTAGTAAAACCAAATAAAGGGTAAGTTTATACTCTGGCAGAAGTGGAAAAAGAGTTAAACTAAAGCAGTGTGGTTTTTGCAGTAATTTCTATCAGATTTTTTTTTTTTTTTACTTTAGATATATTTAATATCAAATTCTGGTATATTATACTATTTTGTCCTATTTATGATGCTATATATTTGCTAAAATTCAAGGAAATAAATAGCAGTAACATTCAAAGAGGTGGTAATACAATCATATTTATGACTTTTATGAGAAGTATCTATTGAATGTGTTCTCTCTTGACAAAAATGTTGGAGGGTAATAGAGAATTTTTTATTTTTTTTTTTTTATTTTCCATCTGCAAATCAGAGAATAGATAAACATTAACCATAAAGCTAACTGGTAAAAGTTCTTCAAAAGAAATAAACTTCAATTCCTGTGCAGATGGCATGTCAGCCTTATTCCTTTTCTGTCATATTTTAAAATACACATAAATCAGAATTCTGGATATCAGAGCCAAAATTAATGACCTGAAACTCAGGTTTGATTCTGAACTCGCACCATATACTTGGACTGATTTTGGTGAAGAGTGTAAACCTTATCTCTTGAGTTTTGCTCAAGCCTATCCATGAGTGGATCATGTTTAGCCTTTGTATCTTTGCCAGTTGTTTCTTTGCATGCGCAATATCTGAGAATGATGGCTTAAATGAGGAATAATGAGTCTGCCTAACCTTTGCCCATGGGATTTGGAGGAGAAACATTAACAGCTTGAACATGCATGTGTATAATAGATTGCTGGGATAAGCGCTCTCATACTTCATGATGTGTAGAAGGCCAGAAAAGAGCGTACACTTGCTATTTATTGTAAAGAATTTGCAAATAACGTTTTAGCGTTATGCTCCTTCCTTTCAGTTTAGCAGAAGAGAATAGAATTTACAGGTCAGCCAGAAATAATAGAATTTCATTTAAAAACTGTTAGTATGAGAAATTACTTTTACGAAAACTCAATTAAAATTTACAAGTGTAAATTGAATAAATTTAGTTTTTTGAAGTGTAACTTGAATAAATAAAATAGATCTTCCTACAAATTAATGTCATTTGCATACATAGACTTCCATGGCTCTGACAACATGAACACTGGAACAATGCTACCTCTCTTGGCATCCTTCAAACTTCTAAAATCTGTAGATTTCATCCATTGCCAAGAGAGATTTTTTTTAACTGATTTGAAAAGAAATGGAAGCTTTCTTTTAACTCTCCATTGTGTAAGAATGTTCTAGATTAATTGAAGAAGTGTCCAATTTACACCTGCTCCCGAACACAAAATCAAAAGCATATCTTTTTCCTAAACAGCACCTGCAATATTTAAGTGGAAACTTCTGCAGTTAGTTGAATCTTTCCTAGTCTTCATGCCATGTCCTGATTGAGTCTTCTAAGATGAAAAATTGGTACAATTTTCTGATCTTAGTATCTTGAAAATTTCCTTCTCCTCAGGATAGAATTATACAAGAAAAATTCACTACTGTAATTATATGTCCTGCGCCTGTCTTGACAAAAACATTATGTAGAAAAGTACCTTCGGAGGATGAATCCCCAGGTTTGTTTTCTCACACTTAGAAGGGATACTGGGGTAGGGAATTCAGGAAACTAGGTGTTATGGATAAGCCACTGCCAGTATACTAAAAATAAAATCCAGTAAATTAGTCTCAGCCTGGCTCTTGTTAACTAAGGCATGATACAGTATACATCAATAGATCAAGAAAAGATCACGCAAATCAAGGGAAGTGATTATTCTCTTCTCAGCACTGGTGACACCACATCTAGGGTACTGTATCCAGTTCTTGCCTTGACAGTGCAAGAGACATGGACGCATTGGAACAAGTTTAGTGAAAAGCCATGACGATGATAAAAGGAGAGGCTGAGAGAGCTGGGGTTGTTCAGCCTGGAGAGGAGAATGCTCAGGTGGATCTTATCAGTATGTACAAATACCTGATGGTGGAGTGGAATTAAAAAACACAGAGCTAGACTCAGTGATGCCCAGCATAAAGATGAGGTAGTGGGCCTCTTGAAATTGACATACTGGAAATTCAATTTAAAAATCAAAACACCTTTTCTTATTGCAAGGTGTCCAAACACTGGAACAGGCTCCCTAGAAAGGTCATGTGGTCTCCATCTTTGGAGATGTTCAAAACCTCGCTGGACACAATACTGAGCAATGTGCTCTATTTGTCTCTGCTTTGTGTCAGGAGGTTCAACTAGATGATCTCCAGAGGTCCCTTCAAACCAGATCAGACTATAGAGAAGATGACCCTTGAAGAATATCCCCAGAAATGCTGGCTAAATATTAGGATGTGCAGTATTCAAGACAGATGGCCTTGCAGTCATTTCCAGACTTCTTGAAATAATCAGAGAAACCCTGAAGTGCTTTTGCTCTGAGTGACTCTTCAATCTCTTAATCTTTCTGTTTCATGTCAGTATTTTCTCCATTTTCATATGGAAAGATGTTCAACAACCTCAGGAGAACTGTCTGAAACTGACTTTTTGGTTTCAGATTACTGATGGAGCTGTGGCAGTATGATTTGAGATAGTTCTGTACCTCTTCTGCTAATTGTGCAAAAGAATGCAAAAAATAATACAGAAGAAGCCTATCTTTTGCTTTGCCATTAAGTAGTTAGAATATAATTTTCCACTGTGGTCTTCAAGTTCTGTTGGAGTAAGTTTGAAAAATGTGTGTAATGTTTTTCTAAAGGAATAAAGGTAGCTATATTTACTTTTTTTTCACTCTTGCACAGATTCATGTTTTGAATCTATTTTCAAAACCACCATGGATGTCAAAAGGGTCAGATGGAGAAATTTGCATTCCACTTTTATCCCTTTCCATGCTCTTCTATTTTCCAATACTGCACTTGGAAAAAATAATTTCACTGTAGCATGGAGCACGGAAAGAAGTGAGAGTCGGTTTCTTTCAATTGGAATATTGAAGGAAAGGAATATGCCACAGCATTCCCCAAGAAGCTAGGAAGTTTTTATATAATAGTTTTTGTTTATTAAGATAAAACTGAAAATCATTTTACTTCAAAGAAGTATGCAGTAGTTCTCATGTATTATGGTATGCATGATAGTTCCGTTGTAAATCAACTATTTTTTGTTGTTCCATAGTGTTTTCCAAGTACCAAATAAAATTGAAATTGCAGTAAACAATACAAGCCTATTTTCATTTAGATTAAAAGAAGATATTCTTTAAATACATATTTAAAGATCAGAGTGCATTCAAATGCAACCCAATGGATTTGCAAAGAGAAGTACAACTCAAGAAGAGAGTTCTTTGATCCAAAGACTTTATAAACAGACAATGAAAAGAGTTTGGGAACGAAGACTGTTGTCTCGGCATGGTTGAATGAATAAATCTTTTGCAGATTACTACTAGTCAATATTATTTTTTAGAAGATATTCTGTTTTCCATCAGATGTATTTATACTTAAAATCACTCCATGGTCTAAGTAGTTTTGCCATAAGCAGATGCTAGAAGGAAAAAAAAATATCTATGAACATTATTTGATACAAGGGCATCTTTATCTGTGTTGCTTGACTAGGTTTTTAATTAACACTTTTTAATTAATTTGTTTCCTTTATTCCAGAGAGCACAATCAGATGAATTAGAAAAAATAGAAAAACATAGCAAGGCTTCTAAGGAAAAAGAAAATGCCAAGTCTTTGGATAAGCCGGAACAGTAAGAACATACTTATGAAAGAACAGTTTTGCTTGCTTCAGAAAACTTTTGCTGTATAATAAACTATCGAGATGTTATTAAAAAAAAAAAAACAAAACAAAAAAAAAACTGCTGACAATGATTTATATAATTTTCTTTAATCCCTCCTGCAGGTTCCTCTATGAACTCTCACTAATTCCCAACTTTTCAGAACGTGTATTTTGCATCCTGTTCCAATCAACATTTTCAGAAAGCATTTGTTCAATCCGTCGCAAACTTGAATTGTTACAAAAACTGTGTGAGGTAGGTTGTACTCTGTGAAAAGGTAGAGCTAAATTTCTGATATTCAATCTTTTTAAGTTGTACTCATATTTCAAAAGTTTTCACTTTATTTACTTTAAGTACTCATTAAATCTGAAGAATAGCAGAATAGAATGTTTTATGATTGTACTTCAACATCAAAGCAAATTTTAAGATTAGCTTTTGGTACTGAGCTGTATCATGTTTTTGCCATCAATGTGTACAGTCTCTCGAAAATGGTGTACTTTATCCTCTTGTTAAAGAAAAATCTTCCCTCCTCATAGTGACCATATCACTCCTTTCCAAATGAATGCCTATTCAGCCTAACTTATGTTTGCTTGGATTTTGGAAACATGCAACTCAATAATATCTCTGGTATCAAAAATCAGTTAGAGCTAGCAAAGTTATATCTATCTAGAAGAGATTATGAGAATTTTGTGGTTCCATGCAAAACAAATATATGGCTTTAAAATGCGGCTTTCATCAGTGTTTTCATAACAGAAAACAATCTGAAACATTTTATGTAATTGTTTTACTATTTAATAGATGGTTTTTATTTGATTAATTAAATATTTTCATTGGTCCATGTTGGGTTTTTATGAACTGCATGCAAAATTCTCTCCTAAATTAAATATACCATTCGCAATATCAGCATCAGTTAAGGAATTACAATTTTGATTTTATAAACAGGTGATCTCTGTTAGTAATGTGCTTTGTTTTTTTTGTTTGTTTTTTTTTTCTAAGTATCCATTTTGGAGGTAACATTCTCCATTCAAAACAAATTATATATTGGTATTCTTCTACATGTTGCAGTAAAAGGTTGTTAATTTGCTATATTTGAGCTTTTTTATAAGTATTATTTCTAAATACAGTATCAACAAATCTGCTTCTCAGTAATACTGTTAATGGTAAATATTATTGTGAGTTTGAACATAGAATTGTTTCTCTTTCTGTTTTGTAGATATTGAAAAATGGATCTGGAGTTATGCAGGTCCTGGGTTTGGTTCTTGCCTTTGGCAATTACATGAATGGTGGAAACAGGACGCGAGGACAGGCTGATGGGTTTGGACTAGATATCCTGCCAAAACTGAAAGATGTGAAGAGCAGTGTAAGCTGGTTCTAGACTTCCTGTAGGCCTGAGAATACTAAATTCTCAGAAAATTACTTTGTCTCCATTTTCAAGTAAAGAGTCTGAAATTTATGACAGCATGTCAAAGAGAATTCTTTTGTTGTTATACTTAGGTGGTCACACTTCTACAGTTAGATGTATTTCTGTAGAAATGTGAAAATGAACCATCTCTTTTCATTACTGTACAAACAAAAATACATTAAATTATGTCTTAGTTCCCAACCTGATATATATTTGACTTTTCGTAAGCTGTATAGTTCTAACTTTTCTTGTATTCAGAAATAATACTATGATCCTTACACTTAAAAGGTTTATTACATAAATGGAAACAGTTATAAAAGAAAAGTTAACTGTGATGCAATGCTCATTCAAAATATTCGTGTGAGGAAAAAAAAAAAAAAGAAGTCATTCCTGAAAATGATTGAATAGGCATCCCGAGGATGTGGGACAACCCAAAATTCATTCTTTACATACATCATGACTACAAAGTCTGCATTTCACATTTGGACCGTGGAACCACCAGAGTAAAGAGTTATCACAGCAAGTACTTGTTGATTTAAGATTTGTCTGGTATAGTCATCTGAGTAAGGAGAATGATAATAATCTTGTTTCGTGCTCAGTGCTAAACTGTAGCTTGTGTGTTACCAGCACTTTTTTTTTCCTTTGATATTCAGATTGGAGTTGTATTCAAATATCTGTTTCTGTTTACAAGGAAACAGTACTCGTGAGTCTCCATGGCTATGATGAAAAGACTCATCTGAATGTGGGCAGTGATATGAGAAGGGTTACAGCAGTAATTCTTGACACTTTAAATTGGCCCCTACATCTATCTAGTTAGTCATTGTCAAGATTTGCTATTCTGAAAGTGGAAGAAAAAGATGAGTTTGTTTCCCTCCTTTGTCACTTACTAAATATACATGCTTTAGCTGCTGGGTTAGGTAATGTGATCAGACTGTTGTTTACCTTGAGTTGAGAGACTGTGTCAGCCATCTGCCTTTAAAGATGGCATGATGGTTTCTTCAGTAAACTAAGGGAGTAATGTGAATTGAAGCCTTAGTACAATGTGTATAGAGCGGCCTAGTTTAGCTGAACCTGCTGGTTGACTCTATTTACCTCACCAGTTTTAGAACTTGGCTCAGTAGAGCATTTAGGTACACTATATTTCGTTTGGTGACTCAGGTCTTATGTACATAATTTGCTGGAAATATGACCATTAACCTTACAATTGCAAGATAAATCTTCAACTTATTCCCTACTGATCAGTCAGAAGAGTTCTTCCAAATAGTTTTCTGAAAAAAATATCTGAAAACATAATTATCAAAATCCTTTTCAAATCAAAGATTTTCTGCTGAAGCTTCATTACAGAGATTACAGAGGAAAAACAATGAGACAGTTTCCCCAAAGGCACCCAAAATGCCAAAATTTCATTTAGAAAAATAACTTTCTTTGTTTAACTTTGCTTTAATTTTAGTAACAGATTAATAAAAAGATCTGAATGTTGTGAAAGAAGTTGCATACATCAATCTAGAAATCTTTTCCTTCTTGGGAACTCAAAACGTAAGGGTTCAGTTTACAATCAGGTAAATTTAAAAAATCAGGAGTGGCTTACACGAGTTTTATAACATAACTTTCTATTTTCTTTAATGGTTAAAGTGTTGCAGAGTTGTTTTTTTGTGGTTTGTTTGTTTGTTTGTTTGTTTTGTTTTGTTTTGTTTTTTCTTACTTAAGGCACCAAATCAGCAAAGTATTTCTCTGTACTTGACACTAAATATTTAATTTACTTGAATTATCATTTCTGAATTTGCTTTTTCAGTGAGTTTCAGTAACACAGCAAACTTTTTTCTCTTCTATACAGGACAACAGTAGAAGTCTTCTGTCTTACATTGTCTCATACTATTTGCGTAATTTTGATGAGGTGAGTGAGAATTAATTTTGCTCTTTTAAATTCAAGTTTAAAAAATCAACTTATTAAATTAGCTTTTCCAATGGTCAAGATGAGGAAATGTGCACAAATATTCTTTTGTGCTTTCAGTTGTATATAAAAAAATAACGAACACTATGTAACTGTTCATTTGTATTTTTGTCAGGATGCTGGAAAAGAACAATGCATCTTTCCTCTTCCAGACCCACAAGATCTCTTCCAGGCTTCACAAATGAAGTTTGAAGACTTTCAAAAAGATCTCCGCAAAATGAAGAAAGATTTGCGAGGTACTGAACCTAGATTAAGTGCTAACTATGTATCCCTGTTGTTATTGCTTGTAGAATTGTGAGAAATTGGATGATAATATAAAAATAGTTGTGTATTTTTGACTCCTCAATTACTATTTTGTTTCCTTAATTTGCTTTTTTGTCACCATTTTAGCAATAATTCATAATTTTCTGTTGATAACTTGGAAGAGGTCATTAAAATAAACATCAACATTAGGTTAAATCTTTTGTTTCAAAACCAAAACAAAAGAATAATTTAACTTTTTTTCTGCAAACTGATTTCAAGTCTTTCAAGCATAAAAAGAATTGCAAAGTTTTATACCATGCTCATGACAAAAAAAAAAAAATCAGATCCAAATACTATCTAGCCGATAATATATATGGTATGTTGTTAAAGACAGTTGAAATAACCTGAATTTACTAAAAAATAATATGCAAAGGAATTAATTTTTCTCCTACTTGTGGAATTATTTCTTTAAATGAGCTCAACAAGATTAAAATAAGATATATTTGCTAGACTTTTATAAAGAACGTGTATTATGTATAACACATTTCTTAATAACATTGGGAACTAGAACTAAGTTTAAGTTAAGCGAGAGTAGTTCGCACAGATGGTGGCTAGTATCCATAATCTTCAATGTTTTTGGCTAAAGTCTCTGCTGGACTGGCCAGTTATGTACCATTATGCTAAATATTGGAGGGAAGGATTAAAATCAAGGAGTGACATTATCTCTGTATTTCTTTTGCCTTGCTGATTTTGAATGCCATGCATCTAGAGACCAAGAAATGGTTTGGTAAACCAATAGTTCCTGAACAACATAGAATGGAAAGTCTTCTATTAAAGCAAAACTATAACATGGTTACCAAATGATATCTGATCTTCTTGCCTCTATCAGGCTTTCTGTTTTGATGTTTTAAAAATTATTTTAAACATTCAGAGGTAATATTTAAGGTTGTATCAAGGTCACTTAGTGTGATACTGAGGAGCAAACTGCAGCACCATCCATTTGCTGCCCTGAACAAACTCGGGAGTGAAGATTGCACAGTTCAGCCATGAAACCTTATTTCTATACTTGCATATTTCAGATAATCTGAGGGCTGATCTCCAAGCTTGCACATAGAGAAGAAAGATTCTTAGGTCTGACTGAAAAAAGGTACTTGAATTCAGGTGCATGTTTACAAACATGCATGGGGGCAGACATTATTCTATTATTCCTTGCAGTTCACAAAACATGTTTTTATATAGATAAAAGGTTAAATATTTTTAGATCAAGTTTGACAGTTGCACACAGGCATAAATCTCTTATGGAATAAATCCACACTGTGCAGTGATCAAAGCAGGGGTTCTGTAAAAATGGAAATTACACGCTTCGCTCTGCCATCAGACTGCAGTTGAATTCTTTCTGTGCTTCCAACCCAGCCCTTAGGCTGGAGTCTCTGTTGTCAGTCTGGTCTGTAGTTAATGAAACTGAAGAATAACTGCAGACACCATCACTCTTTCCCAATTCCCTTTGGTACAAACTTTTTGGAGGACAGCATCAGATCTCTTCTGCATCCTCTCCTGGATATGAAGCAAAAATCTCAATATCAGTCTATCTCATTCATGACTTCTTATCAGCCCTGAGTGATGCAAAATGCTTTGTATTGGCTCTCTTTTTCCAAAGAAAAGTGTCACCCTAAATTAAAAATAATTTGTGTTAAAAAATTTTATGACTGCAAGAGCATTCACTAAAAATTCTGGGTATTCTAATAGTTTATTCGTTGTAATGCTTTCAATGAGACAGAATAGCCAAGTTTAATGACATACTTCTTTTAATAGAGTACAAGTTTTAGCTGAATGGATAAAATTACTTCAGAGTGATTTTTCTATTCATTTAGTTTAAGTACACTACCAGATTTGCTAATGTGCATCTGGAACCTTATGAGTTACTAGAGCTAGCAAGTGCCTCATTAAACATTTGAGCAGGAAGAAGGCTGTAAGATGCTGAGAAAATTCTGACAAAATTCTAAATATGATCTTCTCCTTTTGAAGTCAGTGAGACTAAATGAGTATTGAGTATTCCTGGGAAATACTGACTTTAAAGCTGTAGTAATAGATGCCCATGAACATATTCATTTTATACTGAGAGGCAGACTGTAACCTTTGGACCTATTTTCATCAGTAATTACATGGAAGATTTCATGAGAGGATTTCACCATTTATGGGAGGTGGTGGTGGGTTGTTTGCTTTGTTCTTTATCTCTGAAAAACTGAAAATTGCATGGAATATTGATGCAGGCAGTATCACCAGTTTAAGGGTTTTCTGTCCATGTTAGTTTCAAATACCCTGAAAACCATGCACAGTTGAGATCATGCTTAGTAAAATGGGGGAAAGGGGTATTGCAACCCAGGAACAAAAGCTGAATATATTTTATTTATGTCTAAAAAAATTATTCATGATCATTATCCAAAGGTAAACTTCATCCCAGAAGGGCCCTTTCATAAAATTATGGGACTGCCTTAAAAAACAAACAAAACCCCCCAGAAAGTAGAGGAAGGTTATATTATAAGAAAATAAACAAAATGTTTTGTAACCACAACAATAGCAGTTCATTCTAGTAATGCTGTATTTTTCCATCTAAATATGTTAGTAGCCTACACAGAGATGTGCAGATATAAATAATCTTCGTGGTTCTGTAAAATAATTTTGCTGTTATGCTCTTTCACAGTTCTGAGCTTGTATTTATGTTTGTATTAAAGGAGTTGTTACGCTGATTGCTTAAAAAGAAAAAGCACTCATGATGTTCAAACTTGTATGTTTTCTTCCCTTTTGACCATGGAGGTTCATGTTCATTTTAAAGTTTTATGAACTGTATGCCTTGTGATTGGTAAATATAGAAAAATAAAATCTAAGATTTCAGACTAAAAGTGTAAGTCAAAAAGACTTTCAGAAAGCATGCTGTGTGTCTGTTCCAAGATTAATAAGACAGATTTTTATTTTTTTTTTTTAAATTGTAAAAAAAAACCCAAAACCTCCCCTAAGATTATAGTGGAAATGACACTAACTGTATAATATCAAACTTGCAAATTGTTCAGTTTTGAGTTTGTTTTTTAAAATAATACAGATCCCAGGGATTAAGTTTATATACTAGATTTTTAATTTTTTTAAGATAGAAGACCAAAGAACAGGTAGATGCTTTTACTAACAAACCAAGTGAGTTTGGCTCCATCTGTTGCTCCCAGATTTCACAGCTCTCCAGGATTCTCACTTTAGCCTTTTTGACTTTAGTGACATATAGTTTGTTAAGCAACTTGATCTGCTTTTGATCTCTCCTGGCTGTCAGCAACGTTCCTTGATGCAGTCATGCCAAGCAATGACTTCTGTTCCTATGTCATTCCACAGAAGAAACTTTAGCACTTGCCACATGACTTAAATCAACTCACCATGTAAAGAAAATTGGGCATCCAGGGTCACAAGAGCAGTGCATGACTCTTGCTGATTAGGACCTGTATTGTATATCTATTTTTATCAGTATATTTTTCTAGACACTTCAGAATGCTAGAGGTGGGGCAGAAAGATGTGGAAAATGTTTATTGAATCAATTAATGTTTTAATCCTCTCTGCTCTGACAGTCTCTGGAGTGGTTTAGGAAAATGTTGGATTTGTGGCCCATGAAATTCTTCAAGACATGTATTTAGTTTAGGAAAGAATTAGGACACTAAAATGGCAGTGAGAGTTACAGTATTTATGAAGCACTTATGGCAAGTTAAAACTGTTTAGAAGCTGTTCTTTGGCTTCACATTAACATTTTAGCTTTACAATGGTAAGTTTATTCTTGCAAATCAAAAACTAATTCGTCATTTGTCACTTATTGCAAAACTTTCACTGAAGTTCAGCTAAAAGGGAATTAGAAACAATGTCAGGGCGAAAATAAATCTGACTAGTAGAATTTTGAAGAGATGAGTAATACTGTATAATACAGACAGCTATAAAATTGAGTTGAAGTTAGTATTTGATTATATGTCGTAATGTTGTCATATTTACCATCTTTGAAAACTGATTACAAATAATAATTATAATAATTAAATATTATTTTTGTAGTGATGCTTTCTTTTCCTACTGTGAGTGTTTACAACTCATTAAAAATTCTTAATCGATAAGTTAGTCTGTGGTGACCCAGTATCTCTCTCTTGGAACAAGTGTGACTGAGTATGTTTATAAAGCATTAAGTATTTTAAAAAGCATGTTCCAAGAAAAGACCCACAGTAACTTGGAAAAATACATGTTATCTATTTTTTATGTTCTTGCAGTCACCTAAAATTATTTATTCAGCTTGGATCTGCTAGTTGTAGAGCTGGCATGTGCTCTTGTGTTTAATACCTGCTGTGTAAATCACAGCATTGGAAGTACCATATTGTACAATAGAAAGACTTCTAAAAGTTGTATTTTGGGGTAGTGTCAACATGGGACTGAGAGGATGGGGTAGTAGTAAGCATACCATACTTTGACCCCTTACCATTTGTTTCTCATACAGTTACCCATAACTATTTAGCTTTTGACAAATCATTCCTCTCATCTCAGTAACGGTTACCCCTAACACCTAGAAAGAGGCCCCAACCCTAAGAGTGCAGTCGAGCTGCAGTTTAAAATGGAATTTTCCTCTTCATGGCCAACTCTGTGTCTGGGATGCATGGATTACTTTGCAAAATGGGATTACATCTACTGTTAGTCTTTCATACATAATATTAACTTTTGCAGGCTAAAACAAAACAAAACAAAACAAAGCACTATTCTATTTGCATGTCATCCCCTCTCTCACATACACATATCCTCCTATCTTTTCATATTTACAAGACGCCTTGTTTCCATCACAGTTCTGATTATGGGTTTAAGACTTTGGCAACACTTCAGTACCACTTCTTGATCAGGAACAGAAGCGGTATTAATTTCAACTTCAATTAACAAAATTAAGCAGCCTAAGCCATTTAGAGTCCCACTACAGATGACAGAAAAGGAAGGG